TAAGGATAGTTTAGATAATTTCTTGTTCTTAAACAGCAAGATTGGTTGAAATGTTAAGTTGATAAGGGGGATGGATAAGGATAACAATTTACTCTTCTGGGTGTTTAGGTGATCAGATAAGGTAAGAATTTATGCAGGAATCTATATAAAAAGCCAACACACGCAGGCTTTATCCCCAATTTCTTCTCCAACCATAGTTATAAAGCAAAGGTTGGTGCTTTAAGACATATGACTATACGGAGCATAAGACTAGTCGATAGAGCTCATTGTGATAATAAACAAGATTGGTTCAAACTAATATTTCTTGAGAATAATTAGCCCCTAGATTTGATTGAAAATAGCATTAGAATAATATAGATACCTTTTCAAATGATGAATACGTAAGGAGAGATAAGGAGACCCTTTCCAATGTTTCGTCTCTGCCTTTGTGCATTCGTTCTAAAGATGGGCGAATTAGTAAGGAAGCGGGTAATAAAAATGGTTTCAGGGAAACCACGACACTGCAGATCTGCGATAAAGTTGACGCATGTGGTCGCTTTTATGTTGAAGATACTATCCGTCCCATTCGACAAAGTAGATGAGCACAAAAGCGCCTGTAGAGGCTGCTGTGTTCAAAAATCTGAGCCAGCAGATAACACGGAACAAATTGTACATAAGGTTGGATTATCTCAAACCTTCTTTTTGCTGATTATGGTGCGTTTTCAAATAAGCGTAATATTAGAGACCAGACTAGGTAATAGACTGAATGTAAGGTAAGAACTACTTATACTTAATTAATAGACTCAAGGATAGCGGTGTTGAGCCGCCTACAGAAAGGAGACGACCACTATTTATTGTCTTGGTTATAATCATGATCACTTTTCTTTACCTTTTAATCCAGTCTCTGACATGAAGACGAAAAACTCATCTGATTAACCAGACGTGCGTCCGACTTTGCGCAATCGGATCAAGGGTTGATGGTGGCCAAAAACAGAAGTTATTTTTTCAGTTTTAATTACTTTAAGCCATCACCGCTACATATGCGAACAAATGTAGGCACAGACACAGACAGGTAAACAAACACACTAACATGCTTCGAAGTTGATATATGACTTGAACTAACCAAATCACTTTCTAATTTATCAGAGGTCAGATATAGAGTATATACACAGCATTTAGAGATGAGCCGGGGAGTTTTCTTGATTCGTTAGATAAATTTGGTTAAGGATAGTACCCTGCTCTGATGATATTCGTCGTACGACGGAGGAAAGCCTAGCACGTTTTCACCGTAATTGAAGGAGATTGCTTCGAAGACAGCGTCAAGTAAGATCCAGTAAAGCCAAACGACATCTAATCAAGAACAATTCGCCGGCCTTCGAATCTCTTCATCATACACTTTCACTCGAAATAGAAGCTCAATAATCTTTCGTACGCATGTAAGCCGCACATGTGGATTTCCTCATAAATTTATTCTCCAACCATGAATGGTCAAAATAGAAGTTTGGAAATCGATGATAATAAGGAATCTGCGTCTAGATGTAAACAACATGGACGAGGGAATCGGTAGGTTGAAAACAATTATCCATCAGGATTAGTAGACAATTATATATTGTCAGTAACAAGATTGAGAGAGCCTGCTATTTGGGATGGCATAGAGAATTGACAATTATAGTCGTTTTCTGATTTTGCCTTCATCTCAGTTTTGGAAAAAGTTGGATGATCTACTGAGGAAGTGGAACATACAAAAAATTTATGAAGAAAAATTAACACTTAATTCAGTAGAACCTTCGTTAAGAGAATTTTCAGACCCTCTTTCCAGATCAGGTTGCCACAAGGTTTTGTGCTCTATATGGGGGAGACCTGCCGACCCCTTTAGAAGAGACTATGTGAACACAAAGACACTTGTAGAGGTCTATGGATACAAAAAATTTAGCTCGCTGAACATATGGCTAATAAAGGACATCCAATAGACTGGCCCAAAACAAAGTTTTGCGGGTTAGGGGAATTTCGCATCAGAGAAATTAACAAAACAGCCTACATCCTGAATAGGAGGAACAAGAGTAGAAACTATTTGTGGGTGTTAGGTAATCTTAAGGAAAGGAGGAGATAGAGAGTGCAGGATGAACCATTAAACATAAGGAGGCTGGATTAGCATCGAATCTAGCGATGACTATCACCCTTCCCACGAGATGAACATTACATACACACAATATACAATAGCACAAGCCCAAGCGCTATTCAACATTAGAGGACCACACACTAGTTTATTTTTGCAAGGAAATAGCTGCCACAGAACGCACTTTCGGTTCGGGAAGTAACTTCACTGATTTACAAGCATGTAGAGTAAGATTGAAGTAGCCAGCCAAATCATGGGATGACTCATTTAGTTCGCGAAGTTTGATGCATAAAAGTGGCTGGGGTTCCAGCCGGCTACCTTTTCTCTTGGTTTAGTATATTTTCTATTTCGTTGAGTATGGATAACTT